CAGTTGAAGTTTCTGGGACATTTAATGAGAAAGGAGGGCCTGGGAATCTGATACTCATGGGTTGAATAGAAGGAAAGAGAGACAAAAGAAAACAACGCCTTAAGCAAGATGGAAGAAACTTGTTGCGCGCTGCAAAGGATAAAGGGGGGGGTGGAGAGCCATGATCGCATACGTCCTTAAAGGACATGGCACATAAAAAGAAAAGATATTGGGTCTATCGGCTTGTGCATTTGACAAGTGTTAATAAAGAAAATATGATCTCCGGCAGGGATCTAACCTGAGTCTCTCTTTGTAAGAAAAACTATCGTTTGATCCTGGGTGCTTTACCGCTCGGATATGAAGTGCAACAGAGTGGATTATGGTCCTGTTTTCCTTTTTTTTAATGGAAAGCATACCCTTTTATTCTGTATATTGTTTCTTGTGAGTTCATATCTGCTCAGTTTCGTAGCCGAAACCTAAACAGAGCGATTTCGAAAGCATTAATGCATTTATTTTGAATACATTTTAACATAGCGAATAGACGTATTTGAAATAAACGCCTCATTGTTTTGTTTTGTTTTGTTTTAAACAGTCTATAGTGTGTCTCAGGGGCTGCGCATTCGAGAATTTTTTTTTCAAATACATTTTTGCCATTTGTGACAATGTTTTCTTTGTTTTCTGGTCGCTCCTTCCAATTTTACATAAATTCCATCACCGTGTTTCAATAATTGAATGACGTTACTGTTATGAATAATCAAGAGTGGTCTCCTCTTGTTTTGTTACTCTCCTCTTTGAGAGAGCTATTTCTGTTTACTGGAATTATAAAAGGACACTATACGCGAACCTTGTATTCTTAGTTGAATAAAGCTTTCTTAAAGCCTAAACATGAGTACTTTTGCCATTACAATTACAAAGTCATATTTCTGTTTCGATGTTTTATCTTTCTTGTAATTCATAAATTCTTCACATCTGAAATTCAAGGACACTAGGTTTTTCAAGTGTAGTAACTGCTCTTCCATTAATGATCCTTAATACCTCTTTTTGTTTAAAGTAGTGTTTGAAAATAAACATATTTATTATATAGCATGTATCTCTTACAGTTTTAGCTGCTATTAAAAGGCTTCAAATAATGTCGTTTCTGATATTTAATAAAGCTATTTGCGATTTTTAGTTCTATTTCACAAAAATACATTTCACCGCGCCCATCTCGCCAGCGAATGTGTGAAAAGGTCGAGGTTTAAAGTGGGAAATACAGTGCAAAAATTGACCAAGCCCTCCCCATACTTCCCCTTGTTTGGGACGCCTCAAGCGTCAGAAAATATGCTCTCCGATTTAACATGGCATCTCCGAGCCCGTGGGCCAAAAATATGACCTTTGAACCCGTATAAACGGGTTCATGGTCGGTTTACCTCCCCAAAAGAGACTCCGCCCTTCGGCGTAGCCTCGTTCGGGTTCCTCCCCGCCCGAAGGCAGAGAGTTCAACCGATCAGCCGCTCAGCCCGTCCGAATTCAGGCTGAACTCCCCACTAACTCTTGAGGCGCAGTTTTTATTACGTATGGAATAGTCCATTATGTTCTTATGGGTAAGGTCCCATAACAAAAAGGCTCATTCTGACCTGAAAGAAAATTAACTTTAATATTTGCTTTCCACTGATGTCGTTGTTGAAGCATTCACATACGTATAGGGATCCCAGAAATTCAGAAAATGTGCTGTTCACAAACCCAGCTCTTTTTCCGAAGGAGTGATACTGCCTGGGAAAAGACCCCTTGAGACTTGAACTTAAAATTATTTCCACCTCCCCGACCCAAAAGGCCAAGAAGCTCTTAGTGCTCGTCCATGAGATTTGATTAAACCGTTAAGTCCGGACCACCGCTTAACCGGTGATAGAGAAAAACGATGTAATGTCAAGTGACTGTTTGAACAGTGGTAGAAAAAAAAATGACTTAATGTCCAGCTACCAGTTCAACGTTTGGTAAACACTTGTAACTATTTTTATATCTACCATGAAACAACATTGTGTATTTTGACTCAGTTTGAGTTCAGGCGGAAGGATTCAAATTGTTCAGAAACGAAGGGCCCAAAAGGTTAAGAATGAACTTTTCTAAAAAACCTTTTGCTGCTACTTTAAGCTTGTTATCTACAAGATAAAAATACCTACACCGTACAAATTTTATTTTGGAATGATATCTACATAGTAAAACATATTATCACACACACACACACACACACATATATATATATATATATATATATATATATAGAGAGAGAGAGAGAGATAGATAGATAGATAGATAGATAGATAGATATAAATATATATATACATATATATATATATACATATATATATAAATATGAATATATATATACATATATATATATATATATATATATATATATACATATAAATATATATATATATATATATATATATATATATATATATATATATAAAGTGAACATAGAAGTCAACACTTAGGGCGATAGTCTGTTTCATGTTATATGCAATCGTCAGGCCACATGATTGAATCTAGCATGAAACAGACTGTTGCCACTAAACGTTGACTTTTATGTTCACTTTTATATTTACACACGCTCTATCTCTGATATTGAGCACTTTATCCCATAAATATAGCACATCTTAAGACTATATTTCTTCATATATATATATATATATATATATATATATATATATATATATAAAGAAAATGTAATTTAAATATTAATTTGTTTCTTTTATTTATATTCTAGCGGCTTAAATGTCTACACCTTACAAATTCTAATTTGGTATTATATCTACATAGTAAAACGTGGTGTTATTTTGTCTTGTTATCTTTTCCTTGTAGATAGCATACCAAAGTAGCACCATGTTTTGCTATGTAGATATCAATCTAAAATAAATATTCGTACGGTGTAGATATTTAAAACGATATCTACATAGTAAAGGGTCGTTTCTGCTTTGGCTTGTTATCTAAAAAAAAAAAAAAAAAAAGATAACAAGTGTCCTTTTCGTTCCAATTATCCTTAAAATTTGCTCGTTGTTCAAATGTTCTGTATATGGTATTCACAGAAGTACATATCCGCTAAATCGAATTGCCTCTTTATCTGTGAAGGGATTCTTCTTTCTGAATTCAAATCTATGTACTAATCTCTCCAAATTTTCTGATAACGTCTTTTTACTATCCAAATTCTTGAGAATGATTCTGAGACTAACATTTGAAAATTTAGTATTTATTGAACAACGCGCCCAGAACCGATGGACTACAAACTTCTATCGTTACTCTTTGTGAACAGCACATTTTCTGAATTTCTGGGATCCCTATACGTATGTGAATGCTTCAACAACGACGGCAGTGGAAAGTAAATATTAAAGTTAATTTTCTTTAAGGTCAGAATGAGCCTTTTTGTTATGGGACCTTACCCATAAGAACATAATGGACTATTCCATACGTAATAAAAACTGCGCCACAAGAGTTAGCGGGGAGTTTAGTCTGAAGTCGGACAGGCTGACCAGCTGATCGGTTGAAAACTCAGCCTTCGGACGGGGAGGAACCCGAACGAGGCTACGCCGAAGGGCGGAGTCTCTTTCGCGGAGGTAAACCGACCCTGAACCCGTTTATACGGGTTCAAAGGGCATATTTTTGGCCGAGCCCACGGACTCGGAGATCCCACGTTAAACCGGCCTTGTGCCACATGATGCCCTCGTGGGGGGGGTGACTAAATACAGTTCAGTCTGAAGTCTGGAGTGAAGTCCGCCAGGAGTCTGTCAGTCAGTCAGAGCAAGCGAGTTAGTCAGTCGAGTCAGAGGCAGTCCGAAACAGAGTCGCGTTCAGACAATTACTACTACACCTGATTGTTCGTACGAACACTTTCTACTTCTCTGTATATAGTCCCGTTTGTAGTATATCTGTGTTATTCCATATCCGTATTCGAGTTCTTTATTGGTTCTACCTTGGATTATCACCGTGGTACAAGGAACCGGACCATAACACTTTTGATATTCCTTCGAATGTAATCAAGTGATTTTGTTATTTTAACAATTCTCTATCCATATCTCATTCGCAATCATTTTCGTCAAAGAAAAACAAAAACAGATCCCGAAATAAGTTTCATCCACAACTTAGGTTTTACTGTTATTTTTAACACCATCTCTTTTTCGATCGACTTTTGCTGGCAACATAATTTTTTTTTTTTGCTTTCTAATCTCATACCAATTCCTCAACACTATCGTCTTTCATTTTCTCACTGCATTGGCCAAGAAACTTATATTTACACACTTTAAACAAGACGGTAAGTTAATACACTCTCGGATGAAGAAGCTATAATTTTTATTGCTTTCCATAAGCGAGCCACATAATTATCTTACAATTATTGGAGTGTAACCTCTGTGAGTTTTCATTATAATAAACAAAGGGAAAGTCGATTCGACCCGTCAGATAAAAACCCGGCTCTTAATCTATGAGAAGCAATGCAGTCTTAGTGGGCAACAAACTACAATATTCTTCGTTATGTTCGGTCTATGCTTATTGCTTCTTCTCCAACGATTATCAATGCTTAATTACTGTTATTAGTTCAACTCGAGTGCAGGAAGCGAGGCTTATGATGAAAGCAGATGATTGCGAAGAAAAAAGAAACAAAGAAGATCAATAGCAATGCCTACAATACTATTGTGAGTCCCTTCAGAAGTCGACAAGCGCAAGTTTTCTTTTTACGTACGCATATGACTTCCATCCTTTACTTTCTTCTTATTGAGGCACTGTCAAATTAATCGAACAAAAAACAAAGCAGCCAGACGCAAAAGACTGAAAAAAAAGGGTGTGAAGGCACTGGTACTAAAAGTTGATCAGTTCTAAAGAAACACGAGCAATTTCTTTTAAAGGCAGGAATTTGATGTGCATCTCTTAACATGATCTCTTAAAGTTTGCGTAGTTTTATTTCAGCTACATAGATATACAACATACAGAGAAATATTAGATAGATAGATAGATAAACAGACTGATAGAGATATGAACAAGAATAGAGACTAAGATAGATAGATAGATAGATAGATAGATAGATAGATAGATAACATACAGAGAAATATTAGATAGATAGATAGATATACAACATACGGAGAAATATTACATAGATAGATAGATAGATAGATAGATAGATAGATAACATACAGAGAAATATGAGGTAGATAGATAGATAGATAGATAGATAGATAAGCAGAAGAATAGAGATATGAACAAGAATAGAGACTAACATAGATAGATAGATAGATAGATAGATAAGCAGACGGATAGAGATATGAACAAGAATAGAGACTAACACAGATACATAGATAGATAGATAGATAGATAGATAGATAGATAACATACAGAGAAATATGAGGTAGATAGATAGATATATAAGCAGACTAAAAGAGATATGAACAAGAATAGAGACTAACATAGATAGATGGATAGATAGATAGATATACAACATACAGAGAAATATTAGATAGATAGATAGATAGATAGATAGATAGATAGATAGATAACATGCAGAGGAATATGAGATAGATAGATAGATAGATAAGCAGACTGATAGAGATATGAACAAGAATAGAGACTAACATAGATAGATAGATAGATAGATAACATACAGAGAAATATTAGATAGATAGATAGATAGATAGATAGATAACATACAGAGAAATATTAGATAGATAGATAGATAGATAACATACAGAGAAATATGAGGTAGATAGATAGATAGATAGATAGATAGATAGATAAGCAAACTAATAGAGATATGAACAAGAATAGAGACTAACATAGATAGATAGATAGATAACATACAGAGAAATATTAGATAGATAGATAGATAGATAACATACAGAGAAATATTAGATAGATAGATAGATAGATAGATAGATAGATAGATAGATAACATACAGAGAAATATGAGATAGATAGATAGATAGATAAGCAGACTGATAGAGATATGAACAGGAATAGAGACTAACATAGATAGATGGATAGATAGATATACAACATACAGATAGATAGATAGATAGATAGATAGATAGATGAAGAGACTAATATAGATAAAAACAAGATTATCGTCTAAGTATGAATGAAAGAACAAAACTGCGTCATGTTTTTTATTCAAGTCTCTAGTCTCTACTGAACTTGAAACTATACTACACCGAGCAGATCCCCATTAAATAGATGTGTACAAACTGACAGAAACAGATATTAACAAACTAACATACAGACCGACAGATGAATAAACTGATAGATAGATAGATAGATAGATAGATAGATAGATAGATGAACAATCTGATAGAGATATGAACAAGGATAGAGACTAACATAGATAGATAGATAGATAGATAGATAGATAGATAGATAGATAGATAGTGAAAGTAAATGAATAATCTCAACTATTTGGGCGAACTAATTTCAGGTGAAATCCATGATTTCGCTGAAAATGAACAGTGGGAATGGAAAGTGGATGCAGTACGGATTCTGTGCTACACTTTTTCGAGCAGCCACCTGTAAGATCGCAATAAATATAGCAAAGTTGAATATTTAAAAGAAACTAGCAAACATTAGTTGTTGGAGTATTTCATTTTATAGATAAAATTTGGAAGTTATTACCTATGCATAAGGAAACAAATTCCTGCTGATAAAAACCATGGCAATACGTCCTTTATAAGAATTAATGGATCATTTTACTGTACAAAAAGGAAATGAAACTGTTGTGTAATAAGTGATAAGAAATATGTCGTAAGCATGAATAGTAAAATGAGAACACTCTACCCTTGGACATTGAATAAAGTGTTCAGTTCAGAATTCGAAAGAGAACTGAGTACGAAGACAGACAGCCTGAGGAAGGCCGAGGGTAGAAAGGCCGAAACGCTGTGAATATAATCAAGATGAGCACGTTCAAGGATAAATTCTCATCCAAAAATATCAGATTTAATATTTTTATTAATAAATTTTTTTATGTAGAAATTATTTGTAACCTATTTCTATCTATCTATCTATCTATCTAAATAAATAAATAAATAAATAGATAGATAGATAGATAGATAGATAGATAGATAGATAGATAGATAGAGAAAAGAAAATAGATAGATAGATAGATAGATAGATAGATAGATAGATAGATAGATAGATAAAGAAAATAATTAGATAGATAGATAGATAGATAATGAAAAAGAATGGGGTATATATATATATATATATATATATATATATATATATATATATATATATATATATATATATATAAAGAGAGCGAGAGAGAAAAAAAGGTGATAATGAAAATGGGAGATAGATAGATAGATAGATAGATAATGAAAAGAATGGGATATATATATATATATATATATATATATATATATATATATATATATATAAAGAGAGCGAGAGAGAGAGAAAAGGTGATAATGAAAATGGGAGATAGATAGATAGATAGATAGATAGATAGATAGATAGATAGATAGATAGATCTATGCTCGGACACAAAATTATTCTTCCATAATGTCTACATTTTAATATTGATCAATATATTTTCAAAACAGGAATCACTCGTGTCGTATCTGAGTCGAATTGATGATGTTCCAAGTGTAATGTTGTCTAATTGGCACCAAAAATACGAAGATCTCACATCACCTTAAACCTACCACGTCCTGTTTTGCATTCGCCCAAACTTTTCAGTACATCAAAATACGTATATAACACTGCCCACCACACGCACGCATATATATAGTGTATGTATGAGTGTTTGTTTTGTGTAAAGGAGATAGAGATAGAAAGAGAGAGGGAAGGAGAAATAAGATGTCTAAGATTTTCCGTTGGTGTGTATGAGATGTTGCTGCAAAAAGATGACCAAACGTCAGAATTTTTTGTGTAACCCTTGATCGGGAAAGGAACTTTACAGAACTTCCTCGTATGTGTGTCTCCAGTCTGTTGGTAGACATATTTGTAGACAATGCCACCCGACAACAATACAAACAAAAACCAGTGAAATGTATTGATTTTCTTCAGACTTCTAAAAGAAACACATGAACATTTAACTATTTATATTTTCATATATATGTATATAAACGTTGATATATGCCAAAGTGTATATATATATATATATATATATATATATATATATATATATATATATATATATATATATAAAGATATTGTTATGTTTATACGTTATTTTAGAGATACAGATATTTAAATGCTTTGTTTATGATAAACAATATTAACGACATTTACCAGCCTGAATATCTGAGAAATTGTCAAAGAACATATGCGTCCTCCGACATGAATCGAACCTGTATCCTACACAGAACCATCATATAGCCTGACGCGCTTTACCGATTTAGCTACAGAGGAGCGTTTCGGTTAGCAAGGTCGATTTCACTGTTTTTAAACTACAATTCTCTATAATTTTCTCTCGTACATTCATATCTGCTCGATACGTATCTAAATGTAAACAAAAGCAAATGTAAACAGTAAAATCGACCTTGCTAACCGAAACACTCCTCTGTGGCTAAATCGGTAAAGCACGTCAGGCTATATGAGGATACAGGTTTGATTCCTGTCGAAAGACGCATATTTTCTATGAAAATTTCTCTGACATTGAGGCCGATAAATGTCGTTAATACTGCTTATTATAAACAGTGCATTTACTTAAATATTTGTTTCTATAAAAAAAAAAGACGTATAAACAAAAATGTCTTAAAATAATTGTCGGACTTTGTCCATTTCATAATATATATATATATATATATATATATATATATATATATATATATATATATATATATATATATAGATAACTAGACTCGTTTCGAAAAACCCTCCAATTTTTGATTGGCTAATCAAATCAATCTCGGTGGAAAAAAGGTTTTAAAAAAAGAAAGAGCTACAAACATGAACTTCTGCCGACAAAAATAACGCACAGATGCAGGTCTGAAGCCCAAAGAAAAAACCCCGATACGAGTAACAACTAACTAACAAAAGAGCTCAATACAACCGTAGAGCAGACCTAGATACACCTAGTGAGCCAGACAAACCTACCTAGGTTTCACCTAAACGGATCGTCAGGGAAAGTTTGTCTGGCTCACTAAATTATATATATATATATATATATATATATATATATATATATATATATTTATATATATATATATATATATATATATATATATATATATATATATATATATATATATTATAAAGAGGAAATCATAAAAAGAATTAATATAGTTAATGTAATTAAAAGCGAAATCTCTTCGCTGACAGACTTAATAAAGCCTTAACCTAAAAAACCGTTCGTTGAATGACGGGATCCTTATGTTTACAATTGTAAGATGGATTTGATGTTCCGGTGCTAGTACTTTCGAAACTTTTCAAATTTTCTTCATCTGGCGTTGCGACACATCACGTTCCAAAATCATATAAGCGTTAATAAATAAAACATTCTTAAAACATATCTTCCGGTTACAATACATTTATTTCGTCTTGATTTAAATATATATATATATATATATATATATATATATATATATATATATATATATATATAACCATGAACTTGCCTGCATTTTTTTGCTAAACTGGTGAATATTCAGGAGCTTTCCTATACTAAAACATTTTAAAAAGCAAATAACATTTTTGCTTTAGTATATGAATACTTGGCACAAAAGAAAATCCTTACGTTTGCCTTGATTAAGTCCCGCACAGGACGAAATGCGTCAGCTTAGTTTTTCTTTTGTCTTATATATTGTCTTTTTACAGGTATATTCTATCTAAAATTTTACAAATATATATATATATATATATATATATGGTAATTTTGCATTACATATTTTACGTATATCGGATAATATATGCATATATGCATATATATATATATATATATATATATATATATATATATTATATATATATTCTGTTTGTGTGTGTGTCTGTACGAGGATATCCATATATGTACGCTTGAGTTTGTTTTTTCGTGTATATATATATATATTCCAGTTATACTAACATCTGACTGCTCAAAGAAATCTCAAAAGTGACTAGTAGTGACTTATCTTGAAAATGGACAAAATTTGGCATCGTGGTGGTATTATGCACCTGCAGAAAAAGAGTGTAGATCCCAAAGACATTCATGCTGATATGGTCGCAATATTTGAGGATGACACACCAGCTTTATCAACGACCCAAAAATAGGCAGCTGGATTTAGGAGGGGAAGCTAGAATCTTGAAGATGACACAACCGTCTGGACTTCCTGCCACTGCCACGACCGAGAACGTTGATTGAGTTAATTACATGGTAACAGATGACAGGCGATTGACTATAAATCAAAGAATTAATACTATTAGCAATATCCCATGAGAATATTCTGCACAATGAATTTGGCATGACAAAGGTCTCTTATCGGTGAATACCACCTCTTCGGACACCTGATCAAAACGCACCAATTTGATCAGATCACGAGAAAATCTGACATAGCTTGAGGGAGATCCAGCTGCTTTCCTTGAAAATTTCTTAACCCAGGGTGAGTGTTGAGTTCATCACTTTCAGCCAGAGACAAGGAGACAATCCATACAATGGAAATCACCTCCTGATGTGCTCCAAAGAAGGTCAATGTCACTTAATCTGCAGAGAAGTTGATGGCCTCAGTTTTTTAGAGACAAAAAGCATTGTGATAATTGACTATCTTCAAAAGGCCCGCACCATCAATGTAGAGTAATATGCCAATTTACTGAGGCAGTTGCAAAAGCCTATCAAAGCCAAACGCCCAGAAAACAAATGAAACGGTTTTTTGTTTCATCAGGACGATGCTCCAGCACAAAAGTCGTTGGTTTCAATGGTTGTTGTGCGTGACTGTGGCTTTGAACTGGTTGATTAACATCCCCATTGTTGTGGAGTATTTTCGCAGTGGAGGCTTGTATTTGTACTAAATCGGTTCGACTTACAAAACGTTAGGTACTTGATATAATAGGTATTACGCAGAGTAATCTTGTTGTGGTCGCTGATACTTTCATATTTGACTAACTGTCGACCGACATCGACTAGTATATAGTCACCACCCCACGAAGGTATCATGTGGCACAAGGCCGGTTTAACGTGGGATCTCCGATCCCGTGGGCTCGGCCAAAGATATACCCTTTGAACCCGTATAAACGGGTTCAGGGTCGGTTTACCTCCCCGAACGAGGCTACGCCGAAGGCAGAGAGTTCAACCGTTCAGCCGGTCGTCCGACATCGACTGACCCTCGTTTCTCTTACTACTCCTACTTATATTAGGTGGAAGAGTCTATTAACTATAGAATAGGGGTGTTTCACCATAACACCCATTCTCCTGATTTGACCCCCAACTGACTATGATCTGTCCTTCAACATGAAAAAGCACTTGACTGGAAATCAGTGATGATGACGTCATGTCTGCTGGTATTGATTTTTTTTTTATCAACACGATTCAAGCTTCTTCATCAATGGAATTCAAGCACAGCAACACGAAGGGAAGAAGTGTGAGGATCGCAAGGGAAACTATGTTGAAAAATAAACTTCATTTAGTCACATTCCATGAGTGTACCTTGGTCAGAGTAATAACTTTTCAACCGACCGTCGTATGCGAGTGAGTCTTCATAAACAGATTGTCTTCCACAGACTGTTTCACTGTATCACAGCTCATCAGTGTGGCTAGACATCAGATTGCCTCAATTCAGAATCGAAACACGACGGTTTTCGCATCAGTCGGAAATTTTCCCCTAATCAGCACCCGACAGAGGAAGGTGAATTTTTACGCATTTATTTTTGAATAAACACACCAGTGACTGAGAGCGCTTGATTCATATATATATATAGAGAGAGAGAGAGAGATACATACATACATACATACATACATACATACATACATACATAGATATGCATATATGTGGATGAGGATTAACGCAGCACATCCATTAATCTCTCATTTTCTCTCTCACTTTATCTCTGTGGCGCGTTTTCTCATTTGTTCATTCTCTCTCTTTCACTCTCTCTCTCTCATTCTCTCTCTCTCACTCTCTCAATATCTCCCTCTCTCTCCATATGTACATGTACATAGAAAAGAGGTTGTTTCAAATCCTCGCCATAATCCAATATACCTTAAAAATCTTTTGTCTTGACCACTTAGTTACATGTTTTAAAGGGTCTGCTTGAATACTTTTCAACACCCACTCGTATACAGACACACTCACAAACAAACACACACACACATATATATATATATATATATATATATATATATATATATATATATAATATATATATATATATATATACATATTTGCAGTTTTTCAGTAATATATGAATATTTTATGCATATAAGTATCCTATTATAATTGTACTCCTCTTACACTTCGTTAGTTTGTACGCCATTACGTCCTGCCAATACCTTATAAATAATGGATTATTCCGCGTTTTCATCCCGTGGAAAGACGGGAAAAGTCATTACTTTCTTTCAGTGAAAAAAACGAAAGAAATAAGAAAGAAGGAGGGGGAGATAGAAGTGGGGAGAGAGAGAGAGAGAGAGAGAGAGAGAGAGAAAGAGAATCAGATTCGGCTATTAAGAACAGATACTACAAATTGATGTCAGTCAAAACCGAGTAAGGAAGGAAGGAAGGAAGGGAGAAGGAAGGAAGGAAGGAAGGAAGGAAGGAAGGAAGGAAGGAAGGAAGGAAGGAAGGAAGGAAGGAAGGAAATATAAAATTGTTTAACTTCCCCTACCAATACCACATAAATAATGGACTATTCCGTTTTGATCGTGTGGAAAGAGGGGAAAGTTGATTTCAATGAGAAGAATGAAAGAAGGGAAGGCAAAAGTATTTAACGGCTTTTTCAATGAAATGCAAATTTTTTTCAATTTTATATCTTTTCATTTGTACCCACTTCTTAAAATAGCGATAGCATTAATATTTATGAATGTTATTACAACATTTTGTTAACGTTTTAAGTTCAAATATTTAACAACGCAATAGGGGGATTTTTACAGATATCTTGTTTTCATAAAAGTCGCCATGAGCTTTTTCAATCATTAATTTAAGAGTTAAGAATTAAGATTCATCAGAAAATTTATATAGGAAATTTCTGGTATATATAATTGTTTTTTAAAATTTCTAGTATATATAATTGTTTTTTTTTTTAAATAAATAACTATATGCCTACATATTTTTATAAATGGATATTCCATCATCACCGATCGTGATGAACGGGTGTTCTCTCGGGCTGGGGCGCCCTGGGCGCTTATTGGGGACCTAAACTCAACCCAGACGGCTCCAGTAATTACCTGACTCTTCCTGTTATCTTCACAAAGTTCATATGCCGTTGAACCAATTTGTTATCCTCTACCTTTACAATAGTCAGATCAAGCCGAAAATGGGGTACTGTTGCCATATTATTCGCAGGAGGTACCCAGGCTTCACTTTCCAGCCTTGATAATGTCCAAAACGGTCTTATTATTATTCGCCCACACAACCCTTTTCTCACTGATAAAACGTCGCAAGCCTCCTTCTGCTCTATCATCAACCATGTTCGGACGCACTGCATTCCTTAGCTCCAACTGTTTTAACATTCACATTAAGACACGCTATACCATACTCATTAGCTTCTTATTCACATGGAGAGATGTAAGCTCTTTCTCAAGCAGCTTCTTCCCACGAACCGCTACTTTATGGCAAGGACACCCAAGAGGATGCTTTTCCGATCACTCTAATTTTAATCTGTTCAAGTCTAGAGTCAACTGTTATCTTCCCCATATATCCCCATAAACAGTGCCTCTTAACTTGTAACCCTCTACCCGAGTGACTCTTGGGCCTTATACATGGTGAATATAATTGTAAAAAAAAAAAAGAATATAATACTCCTAAAATGGATAGCACATGTGACGAGAAGAGAAAATAATGACATAACCATAATGCTGACCTTCTACACCACATTTAAGCAAAAGGTTAGCGAGGAAATACCCATCAATACAGGAAAGCCTGATTATAATGGACGTGAGAAACTTATTTTCCTTAAGAATTTTTGAAAGAGAAAGATCTTTATAAATTTCAGCCAACAACTCATTCTCTTTCAAAAATGCTTAAGGAAAATAAGTTTCTCACGTCCATTATAATCAGGCTTTCCTGTATTGATGGGTGTTTCCTCGCTCATCTTTTGCTTAAAAGTGTAGAAGGTCAGCATTATGGTTATGTCATTATTTTCTCTTCTCGTTACATGTGCTAAAATGCTCGGTCAATGAATGCCGAATATTTCCTTATAAAGAAACGGCTAATAATATCACTTTAGGATCTTTTTCGCCGCAAATAATGTAAAGTTATTTATCACAAATATTCGTTCACTCCACAAGAAATTATAAATTTTAAATCAAAGTTGTTTTTGCTTTTTTATTAAATATTTGGCACTCTTTTGAAATTAGAAATTTTAAATCAAAATGCGTTTAGCTTGCCTCGCAACAACTCCAACCCCAAGAATGAAAAATTACCAAAAATCAGTAAGTTATTCACATGTGGATGATATTCAAGGTACTTACAAGGAATTTTTTACAATTTAAAAAGAAAGAAAGTTTTTGCCGTATTTATCGGAGTCACCCTTCATCCGAGTCGCCCACATTTGGGGCGACCGCAACGGTAAACTCAACCGAAGTGCAATGGAAGAGCCTCGCTCTGGGAGAATTTGGCGAGAAATTTTAGTAAATATAAATTCTTTTTATTTTGGGGTGAATTAATATTTTGAGGTGTATTAGCAGAAAAGATCCCCACTGTAATTACCATAACTGCTTAGAAACACATATAAATGTTAATATATTTATGAAATTTATATATATCTCTGGATAAATTTCACGTATATATATATATATATATAAAGAATATAGCGTGAATATATGTGTACGTATAAATATATATGCGTATGACATTTGCAGTCCTGCCTGAATATTAATGCACGCCCCTATGAAGCAAATCTCTCTACATTATTCTTTAGGCCACTCCTATACAATTATACAAGGAATTATTTCGAGTAGCAGAACCATAAATTGATACTTATCTCTGATAAACTACTATGATCATAGTTGACCATATTTAGGACGGACGAATTCGACCAGCCGACCGATACGGACGGACGGGAAGTCGGAACCAACGGCAGAATAAAGACAAAGCGATGTAGTCAATTCTTTTAAGAGCGGTAGGAAGGGTATGCAACCGTGCCGTGCCTGGGTGGGAAATATCAATCGCCGGGGCGAAGTGGGGGTATGATTCAGATCTTGCCACGGCGTCTAGTCTGATTTCGAAGGCAAATCCTAGACTTCGTTAGCTGTCTTAGATTTTCGAAAATTGAATGTAAATTAGAATTTGCGCTTTATGTTGTTGCTGTTGTTGATAATAATAATAATAATAATAATAGTAGTAGTAGCAGTAGCAGCAACGTCGTAAATAGTAATTGTTCAGGTCATTGATCATCGGAGTTATCGACCTTCCTTCTATTTTCTTTGCTCTTTTTTATTTTTCGCATCTTCTCTCTTCCTTTTCCTCATTATCCCTTCCCTCGCCTTTTCTCTTCCTCTCCTTCTACCGCCACTCTCCCTCTCTCACCCTCGAAGTTATCGACCTTTCTTTTATTTTATTTTACTTTTTTTTATTTTTCTCTCTTCCTTTTTCTACTTATTCCTCCCCTTTCCTTCTCTCTTCTTCTCCTTTTGTGTGTGCCTTTCTCTTTCTCCACATCACACATGTTGTCATAAGTTCGACTTGCTTGTTCCTTAGTTTGGTACAAGGCCACAAGTTTGGGACACCCAGTAAAGATCGAACTCACTGCTTAGTAGCGGCTGTAAACATCACTTGGCTGTCTCAGCTACTGGTAGTCAGTGTTCGAGCTCAGGAAAAGATTTCGGAGGCTGATTTTCTAAGTATGCTTGACTTTTTCTTTTTTTTTATCCGACCTTTTTTGTCCTCTTTCTTGCTTTGTGTATATGTATACATAACTATTCATTTTCCTATTGTCTGAAATGTGGGTTAGATTTTTTCCGGGTCATAAGGGACGTATTCACTCTCAAAGTGACACCTTGTCTTGAAAGTCTCTTGGAACTCAAGTCTACCCCTAATCTGAAGATCCTTCGCTACAAAATGCTAGAAAAATAGCTGGTTCCTTGAACCGCTCCAGAAAGTACCTGTAATTCTGTATATTTACAAGAGTCAAATCAGACCAAGAGTAGTGATTTTCCAAGCGTAGCTTGGATGTGGCACAAGGCCGAAAGTAAGGGGCGCCCAGTAAGCGGGACACATACTTCAACTGTACTTAAAGTTCATTCAGCATGTTTGCAGTATAAACTGTGTGATCTGAGGGTGCTAAAAATCACAAATAAGCAAGCGAGCATATGTAATATTATAGGAATATTCAGAAGCTGATTAGTAACATTCATTCAACTTGGGACAGCTCATTTTTTTAATATTCAGCTATGAGGAACGACATTAAAAGTCCGATATTCAATCAAGAAAGAATTTCAAAATAAATTCTGGTGTTTGGTCATTTGTTCAAACTTCGAGAAGTAGCACGAGCCGACAGCTATTCCATGTATTATTTGGAACAATTTCTTTTTTTTAAACATTTAACTCCAAGCAAGGTGATAGCTCCACTAAGACACGAGGAGTTTCTGGGAGAGAAAGAGAAAAAGACTTTAGAAGGAACCGGAAACCCAATCCTAAACAGGAAACAAGGAATAAACCTTCAACACCTGTTCAATACAGTGGGGAGGCTGTGAACTGGGCGATAGGTAAACACATCTAAATAAAAGTAAAAAGGAGAAAAAGAAGTAGTTTGTTAAAAAAAATCATCGTATTAGAGTTAAGAAAGCAGCATATCTCATTCACCGAATGTGTAAGTAAAAAAAAAAAGTTATTTTACTCTTATTTTCTTTAATGAAATTAATATTCAAAAAAATAGTGAAATTAGTTGAGAAATTTAATCAAAGGACGAGAGATTCGCAATTCAACATCAATGACTGTCTAATTAAAATTTAATAAAAATTCAAAAAATGTTAAACTTTCGTTTTTAAATGAGTTTAACCCACGAATGTTGTTCGTAAAAGACCTACAAACGATTAATTCAAAAAAAAATTACGAAATAAATTAAAAGATATCTATCTATATTTCTGAGATGAGGTATTATAATTATTTACATTTTTCGGACTGTTGTCCGCATCTTTATTGTCATGTTTTGGCCATTGTACGCTCCGGCCTTCTTCGGGTGACTAGAATTTCAAACTGAAACCTGTATTTCGTCCACTGGTGTAGATTGTCCTAGTTCCACGTGCCATGCCTTCTGCATGTCTCAGTTATCTCCCTTTCACTCAACTTGGCAGAAAGAAGGAACTTGTTGAGAGCTGCAAGGGATAGAGGGAGGTGGAGAGCCATGATCGCCTACGTCCTGAAAGGACAAGGAACATAGAAAGAAGCTAATTTAATCATTTCAAATCCGATTAGAACAAGTTACAACATATTTTTCCTTATATATTAACATTTTAAGCTTAATTTAAACGCTTAACTTCAATTTATAATAAGTGTATGGAGTAAAAACCTGCAAATAAAATTCCGGTAGATTCTATGTTCTGATTTGGTGACTGTCTCTTGGCTGTCCCAAGTTTTTGTTCACCACTGCAGTAGCCAGATATTGAATTCACAAGTCTTTAGGCCAACTCACTGGATCTAACCACGCTTTTTATTTAATGAGCCATGTGTATAGTCCTTTGGTACTTATAAATCTAATGTCTCTCCTAACGTTTTTTTTTCTTTTTTTACCAGAGCTCATATTTCAATGTTGTTGTTATTATTGCTTCTCTTTAGCATTCCTTATTACTGGTTCCTATATTGTATTCATTTCTATGCTTGGCCTGCTCAGGAGATTTTTGCGGCCTAGCATATGTGCTGATTCCTTAAGTTTTCGTATTTTCCTGTGATGTTCTGTGTCTATTATTTCAGCCGCATCCTACAGGGGGCGGTGATCTCCCTTTTCCCTCCATATGCTGTTAGCTACGCCTGATTTTTCTATTTCCCCTCGTGTTTCGGATTTAAAATGTTCTTGCAGTCTCAAAAATGTGACAACATTCGTAAAAAACTGCACTTGTTTTTTAAAAAATTCGGATTTTATCTCGATATAGAAACCAATTTGAAAATTACCAACTATCTAGATATTACGTTGAATTTACAAAATGGCACAATATCCCCGTATAAAAAGAAAATCAAGAACCCCAGTATTTACACATAAAATCAAATCACCCAGCCCATATTATAAGGCATATTTCTAAAAATATTGGGTATAGACTTTCTACTAATTTGAGGCCAACAAAATAAGTTATGAGCAAGCCCTAATTAAGAGTGCACATAAAAATAAATTAGAATATATAGACAACCACAACATTACTCGGAATAAACATAATAGGCAAAGAAAAATTTTGTGGTTTAATCCCCCTTTTAATTTAGCGGTAAAAACTAAAATTGGTAAGATATTTTTTAATTTACTGGAGCAACATTTCCCAAAAAAAACTGAGTTACATAAAATATTTAACAAAAACAATGTAAAACTTAGTTATTGTTGTATGCCGAACGTAGGGACTATTATAAATGGATTGAATAAGAAAAAAACTAGGAATGATCCACGTAGTAATCCCCCTACTTGTAATTGTAGAAACAAAAACATCTGTCCATTACAGGAAAAATGCCAGCAAGAATGCGTGGTGTATCAAGTGAAAATTTACAAAAATACTGAGGATACTAACCCTAAAACATACATAGGTGCTACTCAGGATAAATTTAAAAAAAAGATATTATAACCATACGAGTAGTTTTAAGAATGCAAAAATTAAACATAGTACCACGCTATCTACCTACGTATGGAAAACCAAACAAGAAGATAATATAGACCCCATCCTTAAATGGGAAATATTAAAAAAAATGCCCAAAATATAAAGCAGGCCATAAATTTTGCAAATTATGTGCTGAGGAGAAATTATCCATAGCTTTATATGATCAACCTAACCAGCTATTAAACTCTAAAACTGAAATTCTCAATGTATGTAGACATAAAAAATCTTGGCTACTAAATTAGACGTTTTCCTGTTATTGACTTTCCACTGAGGATTTTTTTTTTTTTTTTGAATAAATATTTACCCCCGCCACTTAAGTTGTTTTTTTTTTTTTGTTTTTGTCACGTGGTATGATTTTTAGCTATCACCTATAAATATGTGTTTCTCTTTGCCTCGTTAGCCAAACTTTCCCTGACGATCCGTTTAGGTGAAACCTAGGTAGGTTTGTCTGGCTCACTAGGTGTATCTAGGTCTGCTCTACGGTTGTATTGAGCTCTTTTGTTAGTTAGTTGTTACTCGTATCGGGTTTTTTTCTTTGGGCTTCAGACCTGCATCTGTGCGATTTTTTGTCGGCAGAAGTTCATGTTTGTAGCTCTTTCTTTTTTAAAACCTTTTTTTTCCTCGAGATTGATTTGATTAGAAAATCAAAAATTCGAGGGTTTTTCGAAACGAGTCTAGTTATATATATATATATATATATATATATATATATATATATATATATATATATATGTCATCCAGACAGACTGTTTCGCTGTATCACAGCTTATCAGTGTGCCTAGATATACGATTGCCTCAAGCCGGGATGAAACCCGACCGATATTTGACATCAGTTAGAGACTCTCACCCTTAGGCCATCAGCTCACGCAGTGGAGAAAGGGAATTTTTAACACCTTACATACGAGATATAAGCATTACTGGCTACCAGAGTGCTCAAGTCATAGTGAAGAGTTTTTAGCGTTAATAACAACAGCCAATAAATTCCCTTTCTTCCAAAGTGCTCAATATGTTAGAAAATGTGTGATGAGACACGTGGCTGGTTGAAATTAAGTGGACGGTTTGCCGGGATGAAAACTCTACCAGCGGAAACTAGTCCTGATGTTTTCGCTACGACATTCCAGAGAGAGATATAAAAAAAAAGATTCCTTTTATAGTCCTGAAAAGAACACCGACAAGCGGATGACCCGACAGGCAAGGTGGATTAATCTTCTACATCCTATACATACATGCGTATCTGATATTTTCATTCATAAATTAGAAATTGCAAGTAACAATAAATAATAATGTGATTGATAGACGATTCTTTGTTAACGTATATCTTAACAAACTCGGTATTTATCCGAGACCTCTCCACAAGGCGGGATGTGATATAAGGCCGGTTTTTAACGTGAGGCCTTCCGAGCGCGTACGTGATGGCAAAAAAATCACCCCAGGCCCCGCATACATCAGGTTGGGTTGCTATCTATTTCCACAGACGAGACTCTTCCCTTCGACATAGCGTAGTTTGGGTTCCTCTCTGCCCAGAGACTGAAAGGTCGATAAACATTAAGAGAAAACGTGTCCTCTTAATTTTAACAATTTCTACATACAATTTTCTTTACTCATTAAGGCGGAAAATGTTAACTATTCAGGCAGCATAATCACTGCGCATGCGCTTGCGGATTTATTATTAAGTAAAATTTATGAATTGTTTGTTTGTGGATGAAACCGGCGAATACGTCAAAATGAATAACAAAAACTGTGATCATTTTCCATGAGTTTTAAATATCTTGAAATTATTTCCATCTCCTATTTTTAAACAACTTGTTGGATGGCGATCAAAGATGGCACATTATATGAAGAAATACTGGCTTGTTGCCAACCCAAAGCAACTATAAACATGAAGTTCAATTTTCCCATTGGGGTAACAGAATAAACGTGGAATTCTTTCAGTTTTTAGAATGAATGCATGAACCCAGCTCCTGGGATGGAGGTGATCGTGATCAATTCGATTCCGTAGAGTGGCCGGGTGTACGGGGATCGATAGAAATTTTTTAAAAAACGAAAAATATTATTTTATCTCTCTTTAAAATATTCCATGTAAATAAACTGAAGTAAACAAATAAATGCTTTCCCGCTGTCCAATTTGGAAAGTTTTAGGGAGGATGCCACGACTTGGTGTACCGATTAAGAAGCTGTTCTACTGCTGAGTAGCGAGTTCGATCCTAATCAAATGCCTTGTGTTAGATCTAAACTTAATCTCTGCTTAGTAACTAATTAAAATTCAATCCCGACGGCGTTTCACTGCCTGGCCATGGTCAGCAAGCGGGTTCCGGCTAAATATTGCGTTCGATCCTAATTGAATATCCCTTAAGTTAGTTATATCGATTTTCTAAGCATAGCTTAGGTGTGGCATAAGGCCGAAAGCATGAAATTATGGGGTATCTAGTGAGGGTCGAAATTAATATACAGTTATAACTAATCTAACGAGACAACCATGGCAACACTCGAAGTATCCCCCCCTACATTAGTTACGTACTAAAACTAAAATACGTTTAATAAATAATCTCAAAATATTTTCGAATTTAATAAATATTTCATAGTTATTGGTTGCTTGCTTGATTTTGTTTAGCGGCATATCAATCTCCAAGAGTTATTTAATGTCGTAATCTAAATATTTCGTACGTAAATATTTTGTATGCTTTCAACTAAAGATATTTGTATGTAATTTTATACATTCATGCTAAGCATTTTAGATATAGAGTGTACCGACCATAAAATGTATTGTTGGTAATTTTATTATAAAAATGTATTTTTACATATTTCTAGTGCAGCATTGAATGTCATTTTGCTATAAAAATTTATTGTTCGCTATTTTATTATAAAAATGTGCCGATGCTTTTGGTTTGGGTGTTTACTAGTTGTTCATAGCAGTGACCCTAACAGATGCTACTACTCCGGGTGGGGGCTTTTTGGGAAAACAACAGCAATGGTCCCATATTTCAATATCCTATCAGACGCGTTGCTGTCAGATGTTATTCATTGTCACATTCCATATTTATAGTATTTTTCTAAAACTGTTATATATATATATATATATATATATATATATATATATATATATATATATATATATATATATATATATATATATATATATATATATATATATATATATATTCGGTTAGAAGGTTCGATTTCTGACCATGAAACCCGGGTTCAAATCACACCACGGCTGATTTTTTCAGGAAGGAGACTTTCTGATGTTATCGGCTTGGAGGTGAGACGATACCAGTGTGCGACACCTTTGGAAAGTGACTGAAAAGCATACGATTGGTTGACTCAAGCCTTGTGAGTGAAATTGAGTAGACGGTAAACTTAGGAGCCGTCGATAGCTGTGCCGTGACCGAGAGGTTGATTATGCTGGCGTTGTTCAGATTGTTGATCATTTTTTCTCCCAGAAACTGTAACTAAGTTCTTCTCAGCATAATTGCACTATAAACCATTTATTTTTAATTTGACGCTAAATTTTGGGGTGTTTATCAGCAAATATTAAGTATTATACAAAGTGCT